GCTATTAAAACTTCTCTTTCAATTCTTATACTTATTTATTCCCATAATTTGTTCAAAAGTGATATTATCAAAAAATTTCCATATATATAATTTTTGTACACTCATAAAAATATGTTTAACATATTGTCAATTACATTATAATTCTCACAAAAAGAACTACCTTTAATTCTAAAACCATTCAAAATCTTATTACATGGATATATGTTGTGTAATGTTTTCCAGTGGATAATTAAGAGTTTGGTATCTACTTTGCACTTAAATGCTCTAAGCCAAGTTGCACATAAAATATCCTTACCATTATACTGTAAAAACAATTTTCTTTTATATGGACATATTTTTCCAAAATCTGATGTTTCATAAAATGTTATCTCTTTACCATTTAAATATACTAGAGTGGCTTGTACATGCATAACATTTCAGGCTCTTTAGCCGAAGTGCTAAAGAACCTTAAAAGTTAGGCTCTCCAGTCACGGCCTTATTTTTAACATCGCTGCACATGCGTATTGGAGGAGTGGAGGGATCAGTTGTGAGTTTGGACCAACTTTTGCAAGTTTGACCAGGAAATCACCTTTCATTTGGTATGTTAGTAACATTTTTGATCGTAGTGGTATGTAAGAATCATATACATGTCGAGATATAAGCATAAATGTCACAGGTTGAAGGATAAATGGAAATATAATCACTTCCGGTAAAAATTCTGACAAAAAGCTTTCGGACTTTTCTCTTATACTTAAGGTAGTATACCATTGATAGTGCTGACTTTGTCTAGAGTCCATTTCACTGCTTCATTTCGTCAGTAGAACGGCAAAAATAAGAAATTGGGAGACCATTGTGCAATAATATATGGAAAAGTATATTCATAATGTACATGAATGACATTTGTATATCTTGGATTGCTTCTAGTTTAGCTTATAAAGTGTGTGGCCTCTTATATTTGGATGTTTCTCTGCCATGTTATTTTCAATAGGATTAACATGGCTGAAATTCTTCAAATTACAAGACGGCACAGGCTTATTGCACAAAAAACTAAAAAATCTGAAATATGCTTTCACTGTTTTTTAATGCCTCAACCTTAACTCTGTCTAACTTGTTACAAACTCCTTTGAGTAAATTGTATTGAAGAAGAGTCTGGCCATTAAAACCTACTTTTTGCCCAATTTTTAAATTTTTATTACTAAAGGTACCATTGATAGACTAATGTGACTGTGTCTAGAAGTGAGTAAATCTCATCATAGTGCTACAAGTTCCTGTCACAGAGACATGTAGCACTATGATATGAGATGAGCACTATGATAGGCCCTATAGTATAATAATAAGGGTAATAACACTTCACTACTTCCGGGTTCTGTAAATGAAAAATAAAAAAAACTATTGTTCAGAATTCCACAATAAGGGTCTCATTTTTAAGAAAAATTATTTAGCGGCAACATACATGTCATTATATTACTTGTAGACACGCTGCAAATATGATTTTTTCGTCTTATCTGTTACCTTAGCATCAGACCATGAAGTCCTGGACAGACATATTTTTCATAGTTTACCTTATCGATCGATTTCTCCCTCAATGTTTCGTCGATTGATCTCTGGTTTGATCCAGTTGTAATACACACATACGCAATGGTATACGCTGTTTCAATTGTACTATTATTGTTCAAAAATGTGTAAAAGCATACTAATTTTAAAAATACGACTGTTGAACGATTTTCTGCCGCCATCTTGAAATAATGACGTAGTAAACTTGACCCGTCTGACCTTTCACATTTCATATTTAAAACGGCAAAATAACATATTTTTACAGGCTGAACAGCATAAGCGCAGCATCCCTACAAATCTCTACTACTTTTTTCAAGGCCTGACTGCGTCGCTAACATGCTAAATATAAGAGTTAGCTGACGTTTGGGAGTCTGACTTGGTAGACTGTAAATCTAGTAAATCTAGTAAATCTAGTAAAACTAGTAAATCTAGTAAAATCTTGTAAAAACTTGAATATTCAATGTCTAGGATATAAGTGCAAATGTCGAAAAAGCACCAAAAATGCCTTTGTATGAATGAAATGAACATGTAGAAAAAATTCTACCTTTTATTTCATTATATTTAGTTACAAAACAACTATATGTTAGTACTGGATAACAAAATGGTTATCAAATGGTACACCCATTTTATCATCATACACAACCCACCCAAGAAGCATGCTCTATTAACAAATTAAGCCACACATTTAAGGACTGGGGGGACAATGCGTACCGGTAGACTGTAAATCTAGTAAATCTAGTAAAACTAGTAAATCTAGTAAATCTAGTAAATCTAGTAAATCTAGTAAAATCTTGTAAAATCTTGTAAAAACTTGATTATTCAATGTCCAAGATATAAAGTGCAAATGTCGAAAAAGCACTGAAAATGCCTTTGTATGAATGAAATGAACATGTAGAAAAAAATCTACCTTTTATTTCATTATATTTAGTTACAAAACAACTATATGTTAGTACTGGATAACAAAATGGTTATCAAATGGTGCACCCATTTTATCATCATACACAACCCACCCAAGAAGCATGCTCTATTAACAAATTAAGCCGCACATTTAAGGACTGGGGGGACAATGCGTACCATCTAAATGACACAGGCTTGTTTTTCCCTCACAAAATGTTATAATGCTTAGCCTATCAGATAATTTAGTTATTGCTTATTTTTTGGCGATGCTGTTCAATTGACAATATTTGTAGAAGTTCCAATATGAGAGGAATGGATAAATGGCAATTTCAAAATTGATTTTTGCCAACCCCAAAAAATAATAAACACAATCAAATGCTGTAGTAAGGGGAAGAGTGAGACAACTTACTGATTGATCTACTGTATTTGCTTTACCTATACATAAAGTATAGTATGGCATTTCTACAATGCTTTCCATTTACGTTTTGATGATGATATGTTCCTTATATTTCTTGTAATTAATAGTTTAAAGCCATATCATATTAGCCCCTTAAACATTCTTTTTTATTATAATATTTCACAATTTTGCTAAAAAATTTGTATATTGATTATTTGATGAAAGGAATGACTCTGATTTTTAATGCAGCGAAGGTATTTTTCTAATGTTGTAAAAGGAATCATAATCACCAATACTCTTCATAGGGACTGACATTGATATCAAATGAATGGTCCCTAAAAAGTTTACAAGATTTTACAAGATTTTACTAGATTTACTAGGTTTACTAGATTTACGAGATTTACTAGATTTACTAGATTTACAGTCTACCATGCGTACCATCTAAATGACATAGGCTTGTTTTTCCCTCACAAAATGTTATAATGCTTAGTCTATCAGATAATTTAGTTATTGCTTATTTTTTGGCGATGCTGTTCAATTGACAATATTTGTAGAAGTTCCAATGTTAGAGGAATGGATAAATGGCAATTTTAAAATTGATTTTTGCCAACCCCCCAAAATAATAAAAACAATCAAATGCTGTAGTAAGGGGAAGAGTGGGACAACTTACTGATTGATCTATTTGCTTTACCTATACATAAAGTATAGTATGACATTTCTATAATGCTTTCCATTTACGTTTTGATGATGATATGTTCCTTGTATTCCTTGTAATTAATAGTTAAAAGCCATATCATATCAGCCCCTTAAACATTCTTTTTTATTATAATATTTCACAATTTTGTTAAAAAAATTGTTTACTGATTATTTCGTGAAAGGAATGACTCTGAATTTTAATGCAGAGAAGGTATTTTTCTAATGCTGTAAAAGGAATCATAATCACCAGTACTCTTCATAGAGACTGACATCGACATCAAATGAATGGTCCCTAAAAAGTTTACAAGATTTTACTAGATTTTACTAGATTTTACTAGATTTACTAGATTTAGATTTACTAGATTTACTAGATTTACAGTCTACCGTCTGACTTACCTTCTAAAGGTTAGAACCCGAATCTTAATGAAACCATATCACCTTTGTTGCGTCGATAATGATGCAAAAACATAGCATTTGATAGAAATTAGCGTAAATGCTTTTCCGACTTTTTCATTTTTCATCAATGTTGACTTCCGGGAAGGCGTTGTAGTTATCACAAAATAACGCATTGACCCTTGAACTTTACTTTGTTGACGTGTCAACCAAGCATGTCTGGTGTGAAAATTAAAAGAATATTAAGCAATGTTCTACATCCGCCAAGCTAAGTGAAGACGAGTAGTCAATATTTAAAATTACCAATTTCAAGTGAAGTACGCAACGAACGAAACTGCGTGATCTACACTCCCACTATTGGTCTGAATGAAATGCTACGTAGAAATATGAGCCGTCTGCTGTATTAGTCGATTAATAGAGTAAGACCTGTTGGTGATGCTTTATAATTTAGACCAAAACATTGAAGAACAAACGAACCTGTAAATCGTGAAAACAACGAACAAATATTCGGTTTTCACATATGTTCGGTAATTTTTCGTATTGAAACTTCCGGAACTTACAAGGAAATCATTCATTTTCTCGATCCATGATTTACCTCTTGGATGTTGTGGCAAATGCTCCATGGTTGACGGAACAAAGGTGATATGGTTTCATTGAGATTCGGGTTCTAACCTTTAGAAGGTAAGTCAGACTCCCAAACGTCAGCTAACTCTTATATTTAGCATGTTAGCGACGCAGTCAGGCCTTGAAAAAAGTAGTAGTGGGTAAAGGATTCTACGAGTAAAGGACAAGTTAATTGGCGAAAGATTTGGGGAGAAATCGCTATAAAGGTGAGTTTTGGTTGGACAGCACCTAACGGTCTTAGCATGGGTATCAGAAAGTAAAGAAACTTTTTTATTTAAATTTATCTAAATGTTAGGCAGTGACATTTATCTTACAGAAGAAAGATTTTTTTCAAAATGAGACCCTAATTAGACTATAAAATTCTGACCAATAATTCATATATTTTTTTTACTTCCAGTTTTCGAAATTTGTCTGCGTTATGATCCTTCTCTATATAAAGCATATCAGACTCCCATATCAGGCAGCCCCATAGGCCTATCAGTCATCATAAACGTGCTACAGTTGGGGACAAAAATAAATGACAGGTCGATTTTCGATCACCATTTCCTAATTATGGTGGTCTGAAAGAAAATAATTTGCAATATTGTCTAGATACATATCCCTTAAAATTTGTATATTTTACATTTTGTATAATCTCATCCACTGATTTATGGCCTCTTGTAAATTCTCTTATTTTTAACATGGGAAATCCTCACTTCTAGTGTTGTCGCGATTAATCGATACATCGCGATATACATCGCCAAAGCTGATTCTGGCGATGCATCGATGTCTGAAACAAAACATCGATGTTTTAAAAAAAAATTAATTTGCTAAAAATCACCCTTTCTTATCTTATTTTGACGCAAATCGCTTAACTTTCTCATGTCTTATTTCATTTCCCAATGTTTTCTGATATTATTTCGCTTTAAAACTGTTTTAGCTAGTCGAAATGAACCATTAATCTAAAAAAAATACTTTACTTTCATTTCACCGTTACTAGAAGTTCCCGGATGAACCAGCGTTCTGTATTTTAGTGCATTAGCGTTCGGTATTTCAGTGCACTTTTCTCGGACTTTTTCTCGATGTACATCGCGATGTGCATCGATGTTTACTACTGAAAATTGCCGATGCATCGATGTACGATTATGGCACATCGCGACAACACTACTCACTTCAGCAAATCCACCTGTCATTTATTTATGTCCCCAACTGTACAAGATCCTGTGGTTCCTGTGATCTGTAGTGTGATCTGTGAGGATCATAAAAGTCAGTACTTACCAATGGGTACATTAGCTCTACTTGCAACCAATTTCATATTCTTGTATATTGTATTTTCAAGTCAAATGATACAAATATGGTGAAATGTGTGGAAATTGAAATTTCATGTGTTCCAGAAGATAGCCGTTCCGGAAGTACCGTAACGGAAGTAGCATAAGCGCATGCGCCATTTGCCTAGAAACCAGAAAATAGTAAAAAAGTTCCAGTTAAACTCGCTTTTGTGCTGTTATATAACATCTATCATGGCTGAGGAAGGTGGAGATAAAAAAGAAACACAAACTAGTCGTGTTGTTCACACATATCCATTGATAAGAGTGAGTAGATTCAAAATATTTAGATCTGCATTTTCCAAACAAAAGTAGGCTAGATCTAGGCTAGCCTAAATAGCTTAAGTGCTCACCATAGAATCTAGACTCTAAATAAAATAACACCTGGATTTTCTATCACTATTTCCAGACCATGGTAATTTGAGACTTCATACTTTCCAATAATGTCTAGATACACATCCCTTAACTCCCTCATGCCTGAACATTTTTGGAAAGTGGAAAGAAATGAAATACTAAAATGTAAATGAATCTACAGTTGGGGACATAAATAAATGACAGGTGGATTTGCTGAAGTGAGGATTTCCCATGTTAAAAATAAGAGAATTTACAAGAGGCCATAAATCAGTGGATGAGATTATACAAAATGTAAAATATACAAATTTTAAGGGATATGTATCTAGACAATATTGCAAATTATGGGCTTTCAGACCACCATAATTAGGAAATGGTGATCAAAAATCGACCTGTCATTTATTTTTGTCCCCAACTGTAAAGTCCATTTCACTGCTTCATTTCGTCAGTAGAACGGCAAAAATAAGAAATTGGGAGACCATTGTGCAATAATATATGGAAAAGTATATTCATAATGTACATGAATGACATATCTTGGATTGCTTCTAGTTTGGCTTATAAAGTGTGTGGCCTAATATTTGGATGTTTCTCTGCCATGTTATTTTCAATAAAATTAACATGGCTGAAATTCTTCAAATTACAAGACGGCACAGGCTTATTGCACAAAAAACTAAAAAATCTGAAATATACAAATGTCATTCATGTACATTAGGAATATACTTTTCCATATATTATTGCACAATGGTCTCCCAATTACTTATTTTTGCCGTTCTACTGACGAAATGAAGCAGTGAAATGGACTCTAGAAGCAAGAAAAGGAAGCAACACCAAGTTATATATCATTTTGAAGGGCTATACCTTACTCTACCGAGCTGACAGAAGTCAGCTCGACATGTCCAATGACAGAAGTCAGCTCTGGAAAGTTGGATCGAAAATTCTTGAAGAGGAAAAATCGAGCCCATTTTGAATAAACGCTGTGCTGAGTAGTGTTTATAACTAGCAATGACCAACGTATAGGTGGCGCGTTTTTGAGCGAAAAAAAAGTTGGTCAGAAACTTGACCCCACAAATAGACATGATTTGGCTCCTGGTTTTTCTCCCAGATAAACATAATAGATCCCTAATTTTATATGCTGGATTGTTAGTAAAGAGGTTTGACATGATAAATATGACAGAGAATTGACTGGTAAGTTTTCATTTGCGATTATTTTGTGTTTTCGGCGGCGGCTTCCGATTAAATATATCCTCCAAATCGTGTTAAATATGTACTCATCATGAATGTTTGGTTGATTTGTGAATAATATGAAGCCAAATTAGAGAAATCTGGTCTCAAATGAGCATTAAATATTTCCCTGTAATAATTCAATATGTCAGAGCGAATATTCACATGTGGGAATTTCACATTCGCTTTGCGCACTTTAACTTGAGAAAATCAATATAGGATAGCAATAATATCAATCTATGAGGAATATTTTGCATTTTGATGTAATATAAAGGTGATCTGTTGGCTATTTGTGGTATAAATCTGCATTTGAAGTAAGGGAATTCCCCACTGCCTAAGGGAATTCCGTGATATGGCGTCAGAGTATCGGCTTGGAGATTGTAAAACTACATGCTAAAAATAATGCAGTAATGCTGCAAGGAGGTTTGTATATCCCTCCAGATCCTCTGTTCTGGTAAACCAAATCAATCATCAGCTGTTCAGTACATTCTTTGAGGGAGGAGGAGGGGCGGTGGTGGGTAATTACATTTGTTTTGTGTGAGTATTGCCTTGTATTGTACCTGCAAATGTAAGGTAGCAGATTTGTGACTGATTTGGGTTGGGCCCAATTGTGTTTTGTAATCAATGGTGTTTTAGGTTGTGCCTCATTTGAAGGAGGTTGTGTAAGTTATAATGCATAGTTTGGTTTCATTGGTCTGATGATTGTATTTTTTTTTGTTTGATTGTGTTTGTGTATCTGGTTGTGCCACATTGTGTGATGTTAGGCTGTAGTTGGTTGTGCCTGATTGTGCTGTTTCAACTAGAGAGTATGTTGTGTTTGTTAAGTGATTGGCTATGGTGATTAGTAAGTTTGTAGGTTGTGCTCAGCTGGTTGTGCCCGATTGTGTTGTACCTAATTGTGCTTTGGTTAATATGAATGGTTATGGGTGCTGTTTTGTTCATATGATAATAGATCTAGAAGGGATCAACATGTATAATGTGCACATCATTATAAGTATGTTATAAGTTTTTTTTTGCCAGGCTGGAGAGAAGAGTTGGGATGTGGATGGACAATCTCTTCATTAGATGTGCTACCTGTACCAGTGTACCTGATATGTTGGTTTTACCCTCATGTTCTATCAAGGTTTTGTAATCAGTTAGTTGTGCTGCTGTTAGAATCTGAGATCAGAACATCTAGTTAGATATTCAGCTATACAGTTTTACTTTTTAGTTTGATAAACAGATCACATTGTTTTTCCTAGGTTCTAAAGTAATCATCAATAGCTTCATGAACATTCATATATGAAAAACTTAAGTGCTTTTGATGTCATTCACAATAATATAAGTTAGGATTGTTTGCCTGATGAAAAATATAAGCCTGTATAACTTATATCCTTTATGATATAAGTTTGACAATGTACAGGGCGTATCAAAAAAACGCAACTAGTAGTTATCTCGTAAAATTCCAAAACTAGTGATGACTACATGAATTTCATTTGATGTACCATTAAGCCACGTCTCTCCTCTTTGCAATGATATGTCATTCATTCACATGTGGTAATGGTTGGGTGAGAAATCCTTCCATTTGCACAGTGGATCAAAATCAACTCTGGGCCAAGTTTTAGATATTGCAAAAATCAGCGCAAGGGCTAAGTGCCAATGGAAGTTCCCCTGACTTGAATTGTTGTGACTTTTTATCGTACCTAACAAGAGGTACGATATTGTAGTCAGCTTGACGGGAGGCGGGCAGGCGGGGGGCGGCGTCTCACTTTTCAGCTTGTCTACAGGTTTCCAGCCAAATCATTTCAGGGATTCATCTGAAATTTTCAGGGATGTTTCTACATATCAACGTCAAGAACTGATTAGTTTTTGGGCATTCTGGGTAAATCTTAAGGTGGCCATTTTGGATTTTCCGTTCTAAAATCGTCACTTTCAAGACTTGTCTACAGGTTTCCAGCCAAACCATTTGAAGGATTCATCTGAAATTTTCAGGGATGTTTCTACATATCAACGTCAAGAACTGATTAGTTTTTTGGGCATTCTGGGTAAATTTTAAGGTGGCCATTTTGGATTTTCTGTCCTAAAATCTTCACTTTCAAGACTTGTCTACAGGTTTTCAGCCAAACCATTTGAGGGATTCATCTGAAATTTTCAGGGATGTTTCTACATATCAACGTCAAGAAGTGATTAGTTTTTGGGCATTCTGGGTAAATTTTAAGGTGGCCATTTTGGATTTTCCGTCCTAAAATCGTTACTTTCAAGACTTGTCTACAGGTTTCCAGCCAAACCTTTCAAGGGATTCATCTGAAATTTTCAGGGATGTTTCTACATATCAACGTCAAGAACTGATTAGTTTTTGGGCATTCTGGTTAAATTTTAAGGTGGCCATTTTGGATTTTCCGTCCCAAAATCTTGTCTATCGAGGCTTGTCTACAGGTTTCCAGCCAAACCGTTCAAATTTTTACATAAGTAACACAGTGATAAGTTCTAGAGCTGATTAACTTTTCTGTGGCCATCTTGCTTTCTTGGTCAACAAGACCACAATGCTGTGTTTTAGGTACGATATTGTTCACATCTGTGCCTTGTTCTTTTGGAGCTATCTCAGGAGCATCTGTGCTCACAATTCCTCCACCAGATATTGCAAAACCTCGAGAAAGAATTGCCCATGGGCTGCTTTTCTCTGCTTTAACCCACAGATGACTCAGGGCTGAACCATGCATAATTTGGGCAGATGAGCGCATCTTTATATGCAAGGAAGTAGTGGCAATTTGGAGGGGTATAGGATGTATTCTTGCAAGAGTATGAGTATGAACTCTTTACTGTCTATGACACACCTATCACAGCTTCTTCCAATACCCTTATGCCCTTTGTACTGACTTTCGCAATGTTTAAAACTTGGGTCCGAGCTGAATTTTGCCCCACTTTGCAAAATTAATGATTATTCGGCCAGCCTTGACTCTCTGTGAATGAATGATATTCTATTGCAAAGAGGAGTAATTTGGCTTTTTGGTACATTGAATGAAAAGGATGCAGTCAGCATTGGTTTTATGTTTTGTTCCAATTTTGCATCGGGCTCCGTACACTGAGTTTTGCGATGTTTATAACTTGGCAAATGGAATGATTATTCGCCCAACCATGACCAAATATCCATGAATGATATATCATTGTAAAGAGGAGACATATGGCTTTATGGTGCATTGAATGAAATCAATGCTGTTATCACTGGTTTTGTGCATTTCCGAGATAAAAATCTGTTGCGATTTTTAAATTGAAGTTTTAAACAAAAAATGCTAAAATAATTCTGTTTTGTAAAAAGTCCAAATCCGCCATCTTGAATTATGATGTCACAATGACACTATTTTGCATATTCAATTTTTTCAAGAAAAAACTCCATAAAATATGGGTTGTTGGGCCTGCTTCCTTTTCTTGCTTCTAGATTCTTTTACAAATAACTTTTTTATTTTCTTCATTTTTCCAAAAAGTTGCCAGTCTCCAAGGAGTTAATGAATGTATATGTCCTATGTAAAACCTATACAAATAAACTGACCCATATTGAATTGCAGCCCAGGGTATAATGCATGCATCATGATTCAGATTAGAATGAATTCTAGGTGAAAAGATCAAAACAAACAGCCAAGCACAAAAGGTAGAAAGATTCAATGGATATATTGAAAAGAAATTTGAAGCTTAAGAAAATGGATAACTAAATGAACAATGATGATGAAACTGGAACAAATGCACAACTAATACCTAATGGTAAAGTTGACACCAAAATCAAATAAAGTAAAACTGTATCAGGGCCGATGTTATAGGATTTTGTGAAGACTTACCAAAACCAAAATGGCTAAGCCAGCTTTGATTGAAAGAGAGGCTGCATGAGCCTCGTTTTGGAATTAGGATTCAGTCAAGTATACACCTAGTTTATACTTTGACCAATATTTGATTTTTCTGAGTCTAATTTACATCCAGTTTTCACTTTTAACAAATTCAAAGTCAAGTTTACACTTAGTAAATCAGTGTTTACTTTCTGCTAGTAAATACCTTTTTACTTGAGGTAAAGTTAACATCGAAATATACACCAAGGTCTGGTGTAAATTAAGTGTATACTGAGTGTAAACTGTGGAAGGAAATTGAATGATTTACAAATGTGTGAAATATCAGGGAGTAATTTCTTGAAATGACAAAAATATGAGGAAAATGCAGGGTTTCTGTTTTTTGACCACCCTGTATATTTTGCAAGTGGTTCTCCAGCAAATGCGAGACAAATACGCAAATTGAGGGACAGTTGGATGGCCTGCACTTTTTGCCCATCAAAACAGCAAGGAACAACTTATAATTTTGTAATATGAAAAGAGGGGCTTAAAAAGTTTAAAGATAACAAAATCATTTGTTAACATTTGGACCCCATCTCTGATAATCTGCATAAATTGGGTATGTTTTCAGCATTCTGACATGGGTGATGAGATGAAGACAGAAACTATGGAACTGTGTGTAACAGCTTGTGAAAAATTTGCAAACAATAATGAGGTATGTTTTCATAGCAGTTGTATTTTGCAAATAGGATCTTACTCTCTGTAGTAGTGTTACAGTAGTGAGCTACATGTATATTATATTCTACTATATTCACCTATAGTTTAATTTGTAATCTATGCTTGCTGTATATGTTGAGCTATTCTTCATTAGAGATCTTAGGTCAAGGTCACAATGACATTATACACTGTATCTTGTAAACAAAACTGAACTGAATGACTCATTAACCCTTGACCACCCAGAGAGTTCTAGAAAATATAACCATTCATTAAGATTTAATCATGTGACTGAAGATGTCCAATCAAAACTCAACAAGTAGTCTCAGTTCCAGAAGATTCTTTCTAGATGATTCTTTCACACTATAAATAAAACTGCAAAGTGGACTCAGTAGCAGATAATTAAGTAATCATAACTGGACATCTCAAAGGAACTAAATAAAGCAGAATTTCAAAGTCTATCAAAAGGACATCTTCTTAGCAGAAAATTACAGACACTTACTTTGGGAACATTTATAACAGTGCAAACATACAACCCGAGGACTTTTATATGGACATATATTGCAACACACACTATATACGGAATATCATATACATTCGTGGATTATCATAAACATTTGTGGATTATCATCAAACATTTGTGGATTATCATCAAACATTATTGGATACGAACATTATAGGATTACGACAAACATTATTGGATTATAACAAACATTGGAGAACTATTAACGATTATTGAAACTTTCGTGATCTGGAACATTCTCAAGGATCGTCAAGGATATTTATCGACATCAAGAATAAGCCGTATCATTGATTGGACATCACTTAAGTATTAAACCTCCTTTATATTATTGTTATATTATTTAGTTTTCAAAATATAAATATATTGTTATCATATTTTAATTGCTGTTTTTACTTTCTGTTATTTTTCGAACGTAACAGAAATTGGGGGCTCGTCCGGGATACAACTACAACAAGCTGAAATACAAATATTTCAAAAATTCGAAATTCACATTTTAAATTGTGTGAAGACAGCAATTAATTGAAAATGAGTTTTGAGGTTGAGACATTTTTAGAATCGCCCTCTTTGGAGGAATTTGACAGTTTAAAGAAAACTGAACTTCTGGCACTAGCAAAACATGTTGGTTTGGCAGTAAAAACTTCATACCGAAAAGGTGCAATAAAAAATATTCTGGTGCCATATTTGGTAGCGGAAGAAATATTACCAGAAGAAGCTTTAAAGCTTACTGTAGAGCCAACCCAGCATGTCGATCCTACTGAATTTCAACAGCAATTACAAATGAGAGAGCTTGAACTCAAATTACAAAATGAAATGAGAGAAAAAGAATTAGAATTGCAAAATGAAAAGGAAATAAGATTAAGAGAACAAGAAACAAGATTAAGAGAACAAGAAATTCAAAAAGAAAAAGAAGTTGAATTAAAACGTCTTGAGATAGAAGCTCAATCCAAAACTGAGGAACATGCTACTATGCATCAACATTTTGAAAATAGGTTTGACGCTTCAAAATTTCTCAAATTTGTACCTAAATTTCAAGAGAAAAATGTTGATAAATACTTTACACATTTTGAAAAGGTTGCTCAGAGCCTAGACTGGCCTAAATCTGCATGGCCAGTTATGCTCCAGAGTGTATTTATTGGAAAAGCAAGTGAAATATTTGCCTCTCTCTCTGGAGAAGTATGCTCTGATTATGACCTAGTTAAAAATGCAATTCTTAAAGCTTATGAACTAGTGCCAGAAGCTTACAGACAAAAATTTAGAAATGCCCACAAACAGAGTGACCAAACCCATGTTGAGTTTGCTCGAGAGCAAGAGCAGCTTTTTGACAGGTGGCTTGTCTCTAAAGATGTATCTGAAGAGTTTAAAAAGCTCAGAGAGCTTATGCTAATAGAACAATTTAAAAACTGTGTTCAGTATCACATTAGAACTTACTTAGATGAACACAAGGTAGAAACTTTAAGTCAAGCTGCCACCCTGTCTGATGATTATGCTCTTACTCATAAGGGTAGTTTTATCAAGGGCAATCCTAACTATAGAGGTTATCAGGGTAACAAACCTTCATATGATTCGAAATCAAATCAGTCCTCATCATCAAATACATCAAACAAAGCAAAAGACCAGTCTAATTCATCACAGAGCTCAAGCTCAAAATCAGATCAATCAAATTCTTCAGGTCCAAAATCAAATGTCACCTGTAATTATTGTAAAAAGCCTGGTCATCTTATTTCTGAATGCTATAGGATTAAGAATAGAAGAGAGATGTCTGGTTCTGCTCATTCAAATGGTTGTGCTACAGTTCCCATTTCAAGAAAGCCCATTGTTTGGGATTCATATACTCATACTGAGAAATCTACTCATAGTGATATTATGGAGGATTATAAGCCTTTCATGTCGGAAGGATCTGTGTCACTGTCAAGTGATGATACCAATTCAAAGCCAATTAAGATTCTTAGAGACACGGGTGCATCTCAGACTTTGTTGTTAGAAGGTGTCCTTCCTTTATCTGAGGAGTCATTCACAGGCACCCATATTTTGATGCAAGGCATTGAATTAGGTTTTACTAAAGTTCCCCTCCATCGTATTCATATCACATCAGAGTTAGTCAAAGGGCCAGTTATTGTTGGTGTTAGGCCACAACTTCCTGTTGAAGGAGTCGCATTGCTTTTAGGCAATGATTTAGCTGGGGGTAAGGTATCATTAGACCCCATTGTTTCTGATCAGCCTTGTTCTATTGAGGATTCTGTCCAAGAGGACTCTGATATATATCCTGCTTGTGCTGTTACTAGGGCTATGGCTAAAAAGTTAGCTAATAGCGGGGATTCGTCTGTGGGAGATGACTTTGATAGTGGGTTTTTAAGCTCCTTGTTTGATGATGAATGTCACTCACCACTTGTTAAAGATGGTCCTTATCCTATTTTAAAGGCAAATTCTTCATTGAAACAGCCTTCTGTTCGAGCCAAGCAGTCAGCTATTGAGGCAAATTCTTCATTGAAAAAGCCTATTGCCAGAGGTGATTCACCTTCTGAGCAGGATCACTATTTTAATGCGGTTTCGCCCGCTCTTGCTAGTCCTGATGAAGTTTCATCTTCTTCTGCTAGTGTTCATGAGGTTTCATCCCCTCCTTGTTCTGAGGTTTCATCCTCTATTTCTGATAGTGATTCTTTGAAAAATGATCCTCATTCTAAACACATGTTAATTTATGAACAAGAGCATGATCCATCACTCATTGATCTTCATAAAAGATGTCTTACTATTGATGAAGCTGTCAAGGTCCCTGTTTGTTTCTACAAAAAGGATGGCATATTAATGCGAAAGTGGAGACCCCCTGAAGCTTCCCCTGAAGATGATTGGGCAATTGTACATCAAATTGTTGTCCCAAAATCATATCATAAGGAAATCTTGAGTCTAGCTCATGATTCTCCCATGGCAGGTCATTTAGGAGTAACTAAAACATACCATAAAATACTCAATCATTTCTATTGGCCCAAATTAAAACAAGATGTCCAAGAGTATTGTAGGTCTTGTCATACATGTCAAATGGTAGGGAAACCTAACCAGAAAATTCCAACTGCTCCTTTACACCCTATACCTGCATTTGATGAACCATTTAGTAAGGTTCTTATTGACTGTGTTGGTCCACTACCAAAAACAAAATCTGATAATCAATATCTGCTCACTATTCTGTCTATGGCCACACAGTTTCTAGAAATAAAATCACTCCTTATGCTTGGGAATAACAAAACCAAGTATATTGTGAAATCACAAATCAATAATTTCACATTAGTGGAGCTACCAAAGGAGCTCATATCTGACTTACAATCTGACTCAGTGCTGAATGATTTCATTTGCATTGATAGAACTACTCCTGTGAGGTGTAGAGAGCTACACATGATGAAAAGGTATGTTGAGCGTGATAAATTTCTTTACTCAACATGAGCTTGTGCTCTTAGCTTATAGGCCAAACTTGTATGTCAATGACAACTATACATGTATGTTATTCAAGAGTCAGATATTGTAAATTATAATGATTAACTCATGAAGATTATATTATATGATAGGCAAATTGGAGATTTGAGATAACTGTCACTTATATACTGTATATAAAAACATTTGCCTAAACAGTGAAATTGGTATTATATGAACTATAAGATTGTATCAAGATTATGTGAGCATTATAGGTGATCATTAAATAGTGTCACAAGATTACTAAATAACATCAGATTGTACTAGTAGAAATAGTTACATAAGATCATGTGATAATTTAAAACATTGTACTAGTTTTGTGTTTTCAGACTCAAAAATGTATGCTATTGTATAATATTATGTTATATGATCTATTGCATGTATTGTATTTATGACTTGATGCATAACTTAGCTTGATACCATTGTAGTATGATACTATTGTAATACATTATTACAGAACATTATATGTTATTAGATTGTACTCACACTGTAACGATAGAAAGTACTATATACTTGTAAACATACTGCATATAAAAAGACTATTGTAAACAAATATTATGTAAGTCTCAACCTCACTTTTAGAAATTGTAATGCTCGCTACTCAAGATATTATTGTAAAAGTTTTTCATTGTATTCAAAACTTTTCCTTTAAGGAGGGAGGTGTTACAGTAGTGAGCTACATGTATATTATATTCTACTATATTCACCTATAGTTTAATTTGTAATCTATGCTTGCTGTATATGTTGAGCTATTCTTCATTAGAGATCTTAGGTCAAGGTCACAATGACATTATACACTGTATCTTGTAAACAAAACTGAACTGAATGACTCATTAACCCTTGACCACCCAGAGAGTTCTAGAAAATATAACCATTCATTAAGATTTAATCATGTGACTGAAGATGTCCAATCAAAACTCAACAAGTAGTCTCAGTTCCAGAAGATTCTTTCTAGATGATTCTTTCACACTATAAATAAAACTGCAAAGTGGACTCAGTAGCAGATAATTAAGTAATCA